TATGCACTACTTGTACTTCTGTAAGACTCATTACCATGCAGTGAGGAAATAAACCTTTCCCAAAAGCAACGTGATAGGTGTAGACCACTTCAAATGAGTTATTTTCTGTTTTAGAATTGGACAATCCTAAACAAATTCTCTTGTAACAAGAAAGTACAAACGTAACACCGAACTGATTATCCCAGACATGGTAATTTTTACATAAAGTAAAATTGTTTTCCATCAGTTTATCTTAATCTTTATAACTAAAAAATAGACAAGACGTTGCGGTAAAAAAAAAATAATTGTGAATAAATAACTGTAACCTCCTTGTTTGTTCTGTAGAAAGAACATGATAATTCATCATGCTTTCATCCACATAAAAACATCCAAGCAAGCCATAAGTCAAAGTCAGAAGATTACATAAAAGAAAGACATTTAGGAACTATTTATTAAATTACTCAGTTACTTTTCTATTTCTTAATGACAACGAATGTGCTGGTTCATACGTTACCATGAACTTCCAAGACTGGGTGCTGTCTAACGATTTTCGCTACTAAATTGGGATTACAGCAAAAATGTCAAATTGAAACATTACCATATTCCTGAACCCACACAGCAAAACAGACTGCAAGTATTCTTCTAAGTATCTAAATTAAAAGGATTCTGCCAGATCCACTCTACTACTCTACTAAAAGTGATTGATGAGAACCACAGAAAGTAACATACAAAGTAATTAACATTACAGAAAAAAACAAATTATAATTATGATATTCTTACACAGAAAAAAAATAGTTGATTATTTTCTAATAATGTATGTATTTTAATTTAAATATAGTCAATTTTATGCTTCTGATTAATAGACACTTTCTCGTCAGGACTATTCATTCTTCAGTCATTTCAATTCCAGGGGAAAAGTTCCAAATGATCCAGTAAATGCAGACATGGCATCCATTACAATTAAACAGCCAGTGTATGTAAACCTCACAATTTGTTTTCATATCACAATGACAGCATGTGGTAATGAACTTTCTGTTCAGAATTGTAAGACCCGGAAAGGGAAAGAAATATATACTTCCAAATACTAATTACTCAGATGCTTAATACTCAACCTCTTCAAAAATCTGGAGATCAGCCAAAAAGCGTCATAAATGGTTTGACTTTGTACCAGAACACTGTTTATCGGCATTCTTAATTTCTATCTGTGCAGACAGACTGTACTTAATATTTAGCAATGAAATAGCTAAATATAACAGCAGTGCTAATTAGATCATACCTAAGCGTTTGAGAATTTTGATTATAACCTAGAAGTCTTTATTAAATTCAGCTAAGGAACGTCAACCACATCTGCTACAGCTGTGGCAGAACTGAAAGTGGCCACGTTCACAAGGGTTGATGCAGAACCTCAACACAGTAGTGGCTACACACATCACATCTGAAATGCAGCCAAATAACTTGTCAGTATAGACCTACTTCTGTCTAAACTAATACCCAATGGCTTATCTGTACAATGAAGCAGCAGTTACGTGTCTTGAAATGAGGATATGAAGTCCTGACCAACCGTACTGTTTAGGGAAACAAAGTCTTACTGGCAGTAGGTGGAAAGATGGACGCTGAATTCCTCTGTACAGGATCTGAGTGTGAGGGTACAGTTACAACACTGGGCACTTCATCCTCTGTCTTTGTCTCTCTCCTCTTCCCCCCCCCCTCAAACCTCATTCTAAAACTTTTACATCTTTTTCATGCAGAAAAATCCATTTTGACATGTTTACTGTTGTTACTTGTGAAGAAGCAGGCATCTCTCACCAAGATGCTGAAATGACTTTAAAAAAATGAACCAATTAAGAAAAAAGTTTTAGCTTAAATACTGAGAACAAAAGCAGCACAAAAGCAACCTCTCTCCTTGTTCTCATATTGGGTCTTGCTGTTCTACACTACGAAAAATCAACAGAAACATCAGGGACAAAAACCAGTGACCTCACAGGGGAAAAAAGTTTTACCTCAAACATGCATGTGTAAAGCTAATATCCAAAAAGACACCTGTACTTACATAAATAAAATTACACCGCTTCCATGTAAAAACTGTAACTAAAACACCACCTATGATGGATCTCAGGGGTTTTTTTTAAGCACACATATTTGAAGGTTGTTCATTCCATTTGGCAATAGCAGTAATTACCAGTGGAAGTTTAGAAGTTCAGTCAATATAGCAAAGAGAAATGGAATACATTTCAGAAATTTTAGTAAATTATTCTGGTTTGGTTCTCATTTTACAAGCTCAGTAATGTTAAGGTTGTTACAAAATTCAAAATAAAAATTGAGAACAAACTGTGAATCTAAATCAAATGATAATTATTTTTTAATTTTCTAGATAATCTTCAAGACTTCACTGTATCAATGATACATACCCCAAAATAGATAAATTAAGCCTTTAATATAATTAAAGTTTTACTTAAGTAAATTAGTTTTAAAAAAAAAGATTTAAAATGCATACATTTACTTTGTTTGAACTTTAATGAGCAGAACAGATAGAATTCGTGACGTTAAAAATATTCAGGCACAAGAAAAGTTAAAAATGTGTCCTTGCTGAACAGTGAAACGAGGTTTCCACAGCCTAGGTATGCCTTGTTTCCCACGATCAAACTGTCACAGTGTGAAAACATTCTCCTGCGTGTGGAGGTTTTGATACCCATTTCCCTGGTTAAAGCGTGCAAAAGGATCTGAAAGAGTTATTGACAATTCATACAGTATCCCATATTTCATTAGATAGCACAAGCAGAGAACATATCTTAACTCTGAAGGGAGATGAAGCAACAATGTTTTAAATGATTATTGACTCCACTAAATTTCCTGATAATGTCAGAAGACTGTAGTCTGTCAGGTGCATAAGAGACTCAAGATGATACAGGAATCCAATTATGCGAAGTCTATTTAGTTGTCCTGTTTGCTAAGCCAAAGGTTAACGAGAACTGCACTGAAAAAACCTCCTGTGGTATTACAAAGTATTTCTTATGCTGCATAACATGTAAATGAAAAAGTATTTTAATCAAGTCTTTCTTTAACTCTTTAATTGCAACGGGATACTAAACAATACAGCAAGTGAAAAACGACTGAAAAAGTGCTTTTAAAAATTTGCCACTAAACTAAAGACATCACGACTAATTACTAAAGTAATTACTACTGAATATTTCTAATTTGCAAAGGAAAAAATGTTCAGATCATAGAGCCATAGATAGTGATTGCTAACATTAAATCTTTATAAATAGTAAGCTATGGCCTCTAATTTTAGACAGAAATTAATTGTATTTTTGTTGGTAACACATTCAAATCTGTTTACACAGCTGACAAGTCTCAGCTGCACCAGACTCGAACAGTGAGCTTTGAGGACTCTCCTTCTTTGGAGCAGATGACTCAACATTCACCAATTTCATTAAAGATGAAAAGGGGAAAAATTCACCTGCAACAATGTCACTTGTAAAAACAGACTTAAAACAGATTTATGAGTTTTACATATGTGAGGTATCCTATTCAAAAGAAAAGGCGGGGGGGAACCTACGGGAAAACCTAACAGCTGTGGGAAAACGGATTAGAAGTGTTGAGTTTCCAATTCTTTTTTGGGCTAATGTAAACTAATAAAATGTTAAAATGGATCCCCATTTCAAAGACTGTAATTACCATATGACACCATGCTGTTATTTCAGATCTCACATCTACCATCTCAGATATGCTCTTGAATACATGGACATAGATTTACCCACCCCTCTCAAACTTAACTACTGTTTCTGCAAACACTACCACAGACATATTTTACAAGTATATTAGAAATTCAGACAGTCTCTGCGCTTTTTTTTTTGACTGGCATAAATCCTTTAGCCAGAGCTAAAATACAGCAGTCTTATCGTACAAACAGCAATTCTCCCTTTACCAGGAAAGAGTAAAAATGGACAGGAAAGTAATGCATTGAAGATAATGCTAATATATAGAGAAAGCAAATCCCAATTCTATTGTCCCTCTGTAAAATACTCAAGTTCAACCCCTAGTTTAAATGAATGATTTTATAAAAATAGAAATACTTCACTTTTCTACATTTTTCTCAGGTCACAAAATCTACATACAACATAGCCATACAATTATTTCAGCTTTTTTTTTTTTTTTTTTTTTTTTAATAAAGGCAGACCTCACTAGCTGGCATTGGGAACATAATACAAGAAGAAGATTATCTGAGCAAAACTGAAAGACATGTTGTAAAACACTCTGTAGGGACAACTATGCAAGGAATCAAGTCTAATACTTAAGGGAATCCTGCAGTTAAGTCCCATAATTTCACGAATTTGTAGGAAATTCACAGTCAGATGATTCTGTTACCAAGGGCACACATTGATCTCAGCTAAGATTTCCTTCCATTTCTAAACAATGGTAATTCTAAAACCTGCAAAATAAATTTGAAAATTGAACAGATATTGTACTGTATACATATTATTTACTATTGCAAAATGTAATCTTGCAAATGTCCATACGTTCTCACTGGCCCAGCAAGAACCAAGGTAGATCCTATAAAAGCAAGTGAAGCTCTCCACCAATTTCAACAGGAACGCCTCTTGCTTAAAGCCAGACACAGGCTTAAGAATACCAGTGATCTGATGGACACAACTGAGGAAAATATCTAAACATGCACTCAGAATACATGTGAAAAACAGGAGTCTTTCCTGAAGTTCAGTCACTACAATAGACCTCGTCAACTTCCAAAATGTTGTGCAGCTTTGCTCCTCCTAGACTAAAACATGCCCTGAATTTGATACACACAAACAAATTCCACGGAAATGTGCTTCAGTAAGCCAATACTTTAGTATTTGCATCTTCCAAGATAAAGCTCTGAATTATGTGTTATGATTATGAATCATTACGTTATGATTAGTTATTGCATATGGGACGATAAAAGCTATTGGGTGATTCTGATCAAAAAATCCAAGTAGAATCAGCTATTCGTAGGAAGAAATTAAATGAGAACCAAAGCTACTTACTGAGTCGTCTGTGGCAGAAGGAGGCCAGCCTTCCCATAGCTGGTGACGGACAGGGATACTAGTTAGGTCATACACGTTCCGCTTTACCTGGTAAAAAAATTTTAAAAATCAGAACTTGTACTAACAAAAGCATACAGAAAAATTCCATTATTTTCATCATAATCCCCAGCTTTTTATTTTTTTCCAATTATTGTAAAAAAGGTTCCTCCAACAATCAAAGATTCATATCTGTTCCACAGGTTTATGTACAGTATTGCTGAATTTCAGTGCTGCCAAAAGCAATTGAACAAAATATGTTAAAGAAAAAAAATAAATCTGTAACATATCATTCATAATGATTCATTATTACTGAAGTATAATATATGTGTAAAACAATTCCTAACACAAATTTTCACAGTAAAAAGTATTACAAAATCCCGAACGAACCAAGGGAATGAAGAAGGTAGTAACAAAAATTCTGTTACAGGTTTTGCTAGTTAATGTATTCTGTTTCACCTGAAAATTTTAGGTTCGTGCTACATCTAATGTAATAAGAAGTACAACTAGTTTTGCCTAAGTTTATTAAATGGGATCCAAAACCAGAAGTGAGTATATTAAATATGAAAATAGGAATTAATAAGAGCATTTCCAATGAAGACAACACATTTCAAACATTTATTAACAAAATGCAAAAAAACTAATTTCTATATCAACTCTTTCCTCATGCTTATTAAAATACAAGTAGCTACCATTAATCACCTCACATGACAGTTGTCAGGAGGAAGTGAGGGGAAAAAGAAGAAAGTTGAAAATTTCAAATGCAGGAAGAATGTTGCAAAATACAGGAGTTAGAAAACTCTTTCCACAAAAACATTAACACAGATAAAAAACCTGGCACATTTTATCACAGATTTTGGGATAAGCAATTATTTAAAATAATAAAAAAAAAAAGATGTATTTTTGTCCTTGGGATAGAGAGTGATATCTCAAATTCTGAATAATATCTCATACCTGAATGTAAAGATTGCACAAGCAATGAGCACATGTAAATGTTGCCCAGCTGGACAAGAACTGTGACCAACAAAATGCTTACAGCGAGCAATGTTGGGTTTTGGTTTGTCTTCCATAAAACTGCTACATGGGAATACAAAATCTTCACAGGTCTATTTTAGTTTCCAAGTACAGATCTCAACAACCTATATTACACCCAGAAAAAGAGTCTCAAATAGATAAAAGTAAGGTTTGATACATTTTACTAATATTCTACGTGATCATTCGTTAGACAGACTATCCAAGGAAGTCATAAGTTCTGCGTCCCGTTCCCAGCTCTAAGAGGGCTGTACAGTTTAACACTGACACACAATAACCAAGTGTTTGACACATTAAACCAAAAAATATTAAGGCAGATGTGTAAGCTTTGACTTAAAGCAAACGCCAAGACTACTCCAAAATCTGTCCTCTGATGTCTTCTCTAGCTTTTCATTTGTTCACTTGTCAACTGGAAAGAACCAACAATTAATTGTATTCTAACTTCTGCTATGAGTATTACTAAAAATTCTGTGAAGTGAAAATATTATAGTTATCAGCAGAAAAGATCTTCGGAGCTGGAACCTTGCTTGCAGTCTAGCAAACTTACCCTAACTTAACAACTTTCTCTGAACAGAAACATGGTAAAAAAAAAAAAAAAAATATCAGGAAGAAAGTTTAAATTTGTCAAAATGAGAAATGTTAACATAATCTGTATATTTAAAGCTTTCGTATTCAAGAAATGAATGACAGATGATTCTAAACTACTGTTCGTAGGGAGATAATACAATAAAACAAAGCAATCCACTATACAGGCATTTTATGTTGTTTGACCCTACTACCCACTGATCGATACTTTCCATAGCTTCATCACTGAAGCACTGTTGAGTTCTGAATACATGATAAGGTACTACGGTAATATAAACATATGGAATGTGCATATGTTCCCTCAAAATTTGGCATTTATCCTTAGTACAGAATGTATATGCAACATCTGGCAGTAGATATTAATCTAAAAATGTGTTTGTATAATGAAATAGCACCAAAACTCTTTTTCTCAGGATCATCTTCAGAGAGAAATGCTGCACAGATCTTTTCTTTCAAATTTTGCACATAGTTCAGGCGCATTAATACATGGGTGAAAGATATATGTGCAGGCATTAATTGGTGAAAAAACTGTTCTAATCATTGTAAATATCCTGAGGGGGGTGAAGGAAGAGGCAGGGATTTCCAGACATACGCTTGCTTGCTCACAAGTGTTGATTTGGGCAACATTCTTCAAAAGACTCCTCATGGCACTGCTGCATGAGTTTGCAAACAAATAAGTATGACAGAGAAAATTCAGGGCATATAGACAGCAAACAAAGTACAGTGCTCTTACTGTATTTCCAGGTCTCAGATCCTCCGTTCAATTATTGTTGCTTATTCTCACTTCCTTTAGCAGTTGTATCATTATTTCATATTAATAAAGTGTCCCTTAGTAAAAACAGTGAAGAACTGCTTCACATTTCTGGACAGATTTAATGTATTGTCATGGGAATACGAATTACTAGTGTTAACTAGGCTATGCAGATGATAATTTCAATGCTATCAATTTAAAGATTTATAAACTTAAATATTCTGCACAGATAAGTGGAAAACAATGGCTTCATTATCCAACAGCAAGATACATTACTTCCAACTCATGAGTCTACATCTCATCTAGAGTCCACATTTCATCTAGAAGATGAAAGTCAGACCATTTGGGTGCCTTATCTGGACATTTCAGTATCATAACATATATTTGGGTTGGATTTTCAGCTCAGCTTTACATTCATTGTATGGTTTAGAATCACTAAGATATCTCTCCTTTGTTTGTTCAACTGGTAAGTTACATAAGTATACCTGATAACCTTTATGTTAATACTGGTTTTGTTCAGGAGTTTTTGCAGAGAGATTGTTCTGATAACTACATTTCAAATGAAAGATTTTCCAACTATATTTTAACTAAAAAACTAAAACAAGAACATTAATTTATTTTAGACACAGAATACTGAAGTATTTATCAGCAATTAAAGTGCACATCATTAGTGCTTCCTCATATTTAAACATGTCGTCATTCTTTAAAAATACAAATTCACCTGAATTATTAAAAAAAATATTTAAATACATTTCAAATACACATATATACGGTATATTTTTTTATATATATGTATATGCATATGTATACACACACGCACCTGTGAAAATAGAACTATGGAAGACCAAACTCTATAGAACTTGGTATATGATCTCATTCCTCCTGTTCAAAACAAACAGCCTTTCTTCACTGCTTCTTAACAAGAAGGTAGCCTGCTGTGCAGTATTCGTTTCGCAGTAGTATCAAGGTAAAGAGATGTCATTACTCTGTACTGACCCCACAACAGCCCATCAAAATGTAACAATACTGATCTGTGATTGCAAGAATAGGGTTTTTGCTATTTTAGTTTTCTTGCATTAAATACTGAGATAAACTGTCCCTGGGAGATAACTACTCTCCAATTATACATCAAAGTAGCCTCATGAATATTATTCTCACAATATAAAACTCTAAAATGAGCTGCTTTCAAATAACAAGCAAAACTTATTTACAGAAACGTGGGATCAATATAACTACATAATATTGTTTGCAAAAAGCCTTCAGAAGTAAAAATAAAGAACTCAGAAGTCACATTCCTCAAATTCCCTTTTAATTCCAAAGCACAACAGAAAGGCATTATGAAAAAAACAGTATTTCCCTTCTTTCATTAACTCATCTGTAACTGCACTGAATTCAATAACATTCCTCTGCTATTCTAAGCTTGAAAGGCATGCTCGGGGTAAAGTGTTATGTTGGTATAAAGCACAATGCCAGACTGATGTGCTGGACAAAAGTGATCAAAGTTGAAGTAATTTTAGCCAACGCACAAGTATTCTGCTGCATTATTCTACCAGAATGACATCTGTTGAGCAACTCGTCGCAGAATAAACTAGTTGTTATAGACAGGCCTGGTCGGGTAGGGGACCACGTAAGACTTATTAGAGTAATGTTTGATTAAACAAACTGCTTGAGTTAAAATCATAACTGGATTTGAAATTCATGCCAAAGTAGTCCTCTTCCAAACAACAAGCCACAATCAATTATTTAAGATAAAATATGCTTGCTTTTAAATAACTCTTTAATTTTAGGTTTGTTTGATAATTAGAATGATATTAAGAAAGCAGACTTCGGAGACTAGGAATATTCACCAATGAAGTACAGAAAACCTCATTTTTTTTCATTAACTAAGTTAATTTCAGTTTAAAGTTAAAAATTCTGTAAGGAGAGAAAAGTTCTAAAGATTCGTATAAAGCAGAACCATAAACTGCTTCCTCACTAGGCCAGTGAAGCAAAAACCTATGACTATACTCTTCACGCAACTGAAAAAAGTTAGCATAGTAAACAGATTAAGTCTGTTCTAAGGCTTTTATTTATAAATTCACACGATATTGATAGAAGGACTGAAACCTTTATAAATTTGTGTAAAGCAAACCCTAACTTCTAGTGCCATCCACCGAGCTACATTTATTGGCAAACTTTTTGGTCCCCCACCCTTTGATCAGTTTGAAATACTAATTGGTGGCATTGTCTTTCTGCAGGCCAGAATTTCTTTTCATAATGTTCAGATGCCACGGGGACTGGGACATTACTATGGCAGCCGCTCTTCAGATTATAATCTCCAGAATACACGACATCATTTGAAAACAAATTAAAGACACGTCTATTTGGTTGTACAACTCAGCTGTGCACAATATTAATACAACCGTTACAACTAAAAAAACCCCACATATATTTCCAGTGCCATTTACTTGGAAAATCACGTACAACTCTTGCAGAATGCCCTGCCTTGCAGCTATACACTGATGCTGGACAACCACGTCAAGTTTTACCTTCAGCTCATTTTCACTGGTGTTAGAAGGGAGTTAAAATACTAACTAACTTCTAATATTTTAAGAAAACCCACACGTCAAAGTAACGAACACACTGAGAAAACTTCCCAGATACAGGCAGAGTCTTACTTTCTTATCTTCCACTGTTTTTTTAA